GGGTCAGAGGGAGAAGCAGACTCCCTGCCGAGCAGGGAGCCCGATGTGGGACTTGATCCTGGGACTCCAGGATCATGACCTGAGCCGAAGGCAGTCGCTTAACCAACTGAGCCACCCAGGCGCCCCAGGTTGTTGTATTCTTATCAAGAGAAGTTCCAGTGGTGAGAATGATGGTGGTGATGATGATAAAGATGACGATGATGAAGGTGGTGGAGATGGTGGTGATAATGATGATAGTCGTGGAAGTCAGAATGGAGGTGATTGAGGGAAAGTGGGAGGTGAAGAAGGGGAGATAGCAAGTATAGTCAACTCCAGAGACACTTAGAGGCAAGTATGTGAGCAAGGAAATAGAACAGACGGATTTCCTTGGGTGGTTGGGGCATGGAGGAATTTGCTGCCTCTTGGGGTTATCACGACCACAAGTCCTGCATAATAAGTTTGTTGGGCTCTCAACATCCCACCATCCCCTGTGGCCCAGCAGCCATGCAGTGGGGCTTCCTGTTCTTTCTCCCTAGTGGTCCTCTGGGAGTGTGGTGATAGTTGGAGGCAAGAGCTGATCAAGAAAGACAAGTGGTGCCACCTAATGGCCAGGTCTATGCTATTACAGAGTGTTGGTTCTAGAGCCAGACCAACTGGGTTCAAATCTTAGCTCTGCCACATATTAGCTGTGTGACTTTGGGAAAGTCACTCAGCATCTGTCCTGAGACAGGCATCTCTGATCTGAGATAACTTTGATAGTCCCCTAGCTGGTTGTCCTTCTACCCCATTCTTCACCCTGCAGCTGGGAGAGCTTTCTGAAGGATGAATCTAAGCCCATCACACCCCTGCCTCACAGCCCCATGGATACTTTGCAAGCTAAATGTGCTTAGTAGGCTCAAAAAGCCCACCAGATCTGGCCCCAGTCTGCCTCTCCAGACTCATCTCTCACTTCTCTCTTAGCCTGCCCACCTGCCCTGCTGGCTCTCTATTACCCTCACACTGCTTCATAAAGCACGTAAGTATAAATCAGAGTGTCCCTAGCCATTTACCTGTGATACAGAATGAAATTATAATTCCTTTTTGTAACAACATTACAGCATAAAACTCCAGAGGATTTTTCCTGAAAATCAGACCCTCTGAAAATGTCTTCTCAGTTATTTCTGAGAGTCTCCTGCAGGTCCAGCTCACAGATGTCCTTTACGTCCATCCATCCATCTCTCCCTCCATCCATCCATCCTTCCCTCCATCCATTCATCCCTCCCTCCATCCATCCCTCGCTCCATCCATCCATCCATCCATCCATCCATCCATCCATCCATCCATCCGTCTATCCATCCCTTACTCCATCCATCCTGCCATCCATCCATCCATCCATCCATCCATCCATCCATCCATCCACCCACCCATCCATCCATCCGTCTATCCATCCCTCACTCCATCCATCGATTCATCCATCCATCCATCTATCCATCCCTCCTAGATTTTTCACCTCACTGACAGACTGCTGTCTTTGCTACTGTTGACTTCAGTGAACAGTCTGTTCATTGTCTTATGCTGATTCCTACCCCTGACACCCTAGCCCTAGACTCAGGTTGGAAATGCTGTTCTCTCTGCTTCCTCCTGGCACATCTCAGCCAGGCTGTGATGTTTAATAAAGCTTTACTGAGGTCAAAGGTAATGTGATCCTGTTAAATCTAAGTCAGATCCTGTTCCTCCTCTGCTGAGAGCCTTCATGACTCCCACTTCACTTATTTATTTTTTATTTATTTATTTTGACTCCCACTTCACTTAAAATAAAAGCCAAAGTTCTCACCATAGCCCATAAGTTCCTATGTGATCTTCCCTTGTCACCTCCTTGCCCTCATCCCCTCCCAGTCTCCCCCACCCCGTCCTCTGCTTTCTCTGCTTCAGCCACACCAGTTCCTTGCCCTTCCTTGAACATTCCAGGCACACTCCTGCCTTGGCTTTTGTACTTGTTGTTCCCTAAATGCTTTCTACATAATGCTGTTCTTCCTAAATGCTTTCCTCCAGATTCCCGCATGTAGTTACATGGCTCCCTGGCTGACTTCAAGTCATTGTTCAAGTGTCCGCTTGTTGGTGAGGCCTCCCTTGACCTTCCTGTCTAAAATCTCTCTCTCTCTCTCTGTCATCTTCTTCCTTTCTCCCTCCCTCCCTCTCTCTCTCTCTCTCAATCTTTCTCTTATACACATCCTCCGTCCACTTTGCTTAGTTATTTCTGTTCATTGTACCCACCACCTTCTAATATACAAAACAATTTGCTTATCTACTTCATTTATTTTGTTTGCTGTCTCTCTGCCCTACTGGAATGCCTGCTCTACGGGACAAGGAATTTTGTTTGGTTTATTCATTGCTGTAGTCCCTGTGCCTCACGCAGCATCTGGCACACAGTAGATGCTCAATAAATATTGATTTAATGAAAGAATGGACACAAAGATCTGGCTGGAGGGCAGTTAACAGCCACTTTCCGAAGTGGCTGCCCTTGGTGACTTCAAGTTCCTGACTCTCTTGACTAGCTCTTTAGAGGTCTCCTGGTGGTGGAGGGCCAGCAGCTTGGCTTTCAACAATGGGAATCTCCAGGTATCTATATACCTCAGAGTCCAGAGTCAACCTCTATCCTAACCCCAGAGAGCACTGATCTATTCTAGGCACAAGGGATAAAATAGTGAACAAAACAGACAAAATAACCCCCATTCTGATAAAGTCTTTTTTTTGCACATGATATTCCCTCTACCTGGAGTTCTCTTTCTCTTTCTAATGCTAGTCCCCTTCCTAGCTCCTCAAGACCAGAAGCATTACCTCCCAGAAAACCTTCACAGTAGTCCTAAAGTTAGTCTATACTAATTGATAGAAAATTCTTCACAGTGCAGCTGTCTTAGGCCAGTTGCCTGTAAGGAGATCCCGAGGTAGGAATTGGGATGCACATTTTGTGTTGGGGGGAGAATTGGGGTCAGATGCACATAATTTGTTGGGGGAGAGTAGGGGCTGGGATGCACACAATTTATTAAGGAAAGATAGGGGCTGGGATGCACATGAGTTTTTGGAGGAGTACGCTCTCGGGAGAAGGGTACTAAGGAAACATGATAGGCAGGGGAAGGAGCTAAATAAGGAGGAAGTCTCAGCAGGAATCTAGCCTCAGCTTAATTCCTTAGGGGAGCTCTGGAGTGTGCACCGTGGTGCTGGTCTATCTGGAGGCAAAGCCTTTTATCCCCTGGGCCAATCACTGGCTGTGGTCTGCCCCTTGGGGTGGGGTTGGGATAGGACCTGGCAGGCACAGTGATGGATGAGATCTAGGCAGACCACCAGGAGTACCCACTACAGCGCTCAAAACTTTCTCTGTATGAATGTCACTTTCTCTTTATTTTAAAGTGCTCAAAATAACAGTGATTTCCCATGCACCACATAGCATCATCACATGATAAAACTGGGAGTGAGCAGCTGCCACAGGATTCTTTAAAATTTTTTTTTTATTAAAGATTTTTATTTATTTG